AAGTACATGTGTTTTTTAGGCTAGAACATGTCTGAAGATGTTAGAAGACTCTGGTCCACATCTGCGCCAAGAAAAGGGCGCGCAAACATTTTTAGATCTGCAGTCTTCAAAAAAACAAATAGCCTGCGAAGGCTAATGTCTGCGCGTGGTCTGCGCCGCGCAGACAAAAGAGGCCAGGAAGATCTGCGGACAAAAAACAAACACCACCTAAGTGTGTGAGATGATTCAGAACCTTTAGATCTTCAAAAATCGCTTAAATGTATCAGAAATCGCCTTCAGAAGTGTTTTCCGTCGTCTGGAACCGTCTAACCTTCTAATCTGATAATGAGGGTCGTATGTATATGCAAGACAGAAGCTTCTGGAGAAAGAAACCAAAAAATGTGATCGCAGTTTTCAGATATGTGATCACAAATATCCTGATTTTTTTTTCAGATTTTCCCCTAAATGATGTACGATGCTATTTTCAACATTTTCAGAACTTCGGGCCATAAATGTGATCGTAGAAAGGGAATTGTGATCGCAGATTTGACAATTTTTTCCAGGATTGTGTTTAAATGAAGTATGATGCCAAGTCTGAAGTTTATGGACATACGGGACAAAAATGCGATCACAGAAAGAGAATATGCGATCGTAGATTTGGTATGTTCTTCCCAGATGGCCTCCAGATGACTTATTTCGGTCCTACAAAACTTCGTTGCATATATGCGATCACAGAAACTGATTTATGGCTCGTTTGGGACGCGATTCTTCAGTTTAAGCACTCATTGTTATTCCTTAGCATCCTTCTTCAGTTCCAGCTCCATTTAGGCTGCAAATATGCATCCAAGTACTCCCAAAATACCGCTCCACTCGAAATATTTGAAAATGACACAAAATGCTAGCAGTACGAGAATTCTGATAAAAGACATGAGCTGAACATTTTTTAAACTAATGACATGAAAATGTACAAAATATGATGCAAAATGCTAATAAAAACTATCCTAAAACATGCATAAAATGGCATATATATATATATATATATATATATATATATATATATATATATATATATATAAAAGATCAAATGAGAACCACTAAAGGTTAAGAACTCTAAGAACCAATTATTTTTAAGTTATAATTAACAGGTTTTTCATATTTTATAATATTTTGATTTCTTTTTAAAATTTTGATAAATGTCTAAAAAGCAATAAGGATATTTTGGGCAATATCACTTCATCTTTCTAACATAAACATCACCAAACCATTCTTTCACCTGACTTCAAACATATCTTCATCTTTGCTTCTTCCTTCATTAGATAACATCCACCATTTCCACCGCCCTTACCACCGGCGACTTACCACCGCCATCTCCTATGTCGACAACACCACCACCACCACCAACTCCTCCGTCGACTTTTATTACCGCCATAATCACCACCTCCTTCTCCTATCCTTGGTAAATATCCATATCCACATCAAATCTTACTAGATCCACATCAGAAATCACCAGATCTACATCAGATTTGACTAGATCTACATCAAATCTGACTAGATCTACATCAGATCTCCGGTGAAACATCCATCGCTGACTATATGGCCTTCTATTCGAGATTCTGACATCACCGTCGAACTTCCGACATGTACCACCTCCAGCCGCGCCATCACCATCGTATCTTCACTAACCCTCCAGATACGCTTCGCCTCCATAATTTTGTGTCGTTTCGTTGTTCATGCTCATGATTCCAAATCTGATTTCCTTCAGATCTAGTTTAAAACCTTCAGGTATGATTTCCTTCGTGTTCTCCACGTCTAAAACCTCTGCAGATTTTTTGTTTATTTGGATTTTGTTCTCCGTTTTGAAGCATGTTCGTAACCGAAACTCTAGCTGCCACAAGATCTAAAGAAATCTAACAGAGCTCCGGCAAGATTGAGACTAGATCTGAGACCGCTGTCAACCGCCACCACTTCTGTTGCTTCGCCGCTCAATTAAACACTGTCAAATATCCTCCATCTATTTATCTCTGATCTCTGGTGAAACACATCAGGTATGCCAATATTTGTTTACTTTTTTTTTTCTTTTTGTTAAGTTGTGAATTTAATGTTCTAATATCTCATTTGTTGTTTACTTTTTTTAAATGTAGTTTTTTCTACTATTAAGTTGTTAATCCATGTTTATTTTGTTATTTTTTTATAATATTTGCGTCAAATTTTTATTCACATTTTATGTTTTATTGTTGTTAAGCTGTGAATTGAATTTAGAATGTGTGTTATTATGTTAGTGTTTTCTCAAAAAATATGAATTTTGATTTTTTTTTTTTTTTTAAGTTTTGAACTGTGATGTTTTAATATTTCAACTATTGTTTAGTTTTATTTTAGTTACTATGAATGTGTGAATTAATATGTTTTTATGTTATGAATACTATGAATGAAAGTTCTAAAATGATTATTAAACTGTGAATGAGAATTCTGAAATGCTTTATTAAACTGTGAATCTGTGTGGTGCACACAATATATCTGATGAAATGTTTCAACATAATCAGTTATGTGTTAAGATGTAAATATTGTGAACGAGAGACCTAAATTTGTTTTATTAAACTGTGAATTAAAGTTTTGAAATATAACTTTTAAGTTTAGAATATGGTCGTGAATGCATAATTTTTTGTATAAAACTTTGAACTTATCATATTAAGTTATGAATTTTGTGTATTAAATTGTGATTTGATTATATTAAGTTGTGAATTGACTGTAGTAAACTGTGAATTGATTTTAATAAGATGTGTAAATTGTTTATTAATTTTTTGTTTGCTTCTGAAATATGAGATGAAAGAAACATTATACACATATATGATTTAATCTAATTTTAGATAAAGCATATAAAATTTAAATTGTGATTATTTGTATAAATAAATTTTGAAAGAAACAATAGCATATAGATTTGAAGGTATACATGTAAGTTTTAAGTTTAGAATATGGTTGTGAATGTATAATTTTTGTGCATTAAACTGTGAATTTATTATATTAAGCTGTGAACTGAACTGTGAATTGACTGTATTAAGTTGTTAATTTTTAATGAACTTTGTGTACGTAAGAATGTATTAGTGTTTATAATTATTTTGCATTAAACTCTGAATAAATGAATTAACTAGTTTATTAAATTGTGAAATTAGTATTTAAGCTATCAACCATTGATTTTATATATAAATCTGTTTTGGAAGGAATGATGATTGCCACGTTGGCACGATGATTGGTGGTGAAGTGTGATAGTTGGTCGTGGTAGTGGTGGGGGAGTTTGAGTTTGATTTCTTTAAATATGTAAATTAGTGTATAATGAATTGTATTATGTTATGTTGTGAATTTGATGTATTAAACTAAAAATTAATTGTATTAAGTTGTATGTTTTATATAAATTTTATGTTAAAATATGAATGAATGTATGTATGAAAATATTAAACTGCGTATTAGTAATTATTATGTTTATTAAACTATAAATATTGTATTTTAAACTGTGAATATTTTTTATACACTATATATTTTTTAAAGAAATCTACAATTTAGAAAAAGAAAATTGATTTTTTCAAGACATAATTTTTTTTTACAAAATTTTTGTATATTTTGGTTGGAAAATAAAAAATATTACCAAAAAATTAGAGTTACAATGTTTGTTCTATTAAGCTATGAATACGACCAAAAAATGCTATTGAATTTACTGTTAGTCCGACGGTCGTCCAACGGTGGTCCGACGACTGTCAGATCGTGGTCCGACAACAAGTGACAAGTAATTTGTAAATTAGAGAGTGGAAAAGTTTGTTTAATACAATATAAATATTGAATTTGTTCAAAATGTCCTTAATGAAAACATTTTAAAATATAGTTCTTAGGGTTTTTAACATCTTTGGGTTCTCATTTGAACTCTCTCTCTCTCTCTCTCTCTCTATATATATATATATATATATATATATATATATATATATATATATATATATATATATATATATATTAAGTTTATTAACTGTAGAAAATTCAATTGAAAAGATTGAAAAGACATAGTATCTTGTTTTTCTAGAAAATGAATATCTTATTTTCTATTCAAATGTAAGGAATTGACATCATTTGAATAGAAAATATTAGGGACTGGTGGCTTTTGTTTGTAGTTAATACATTGCGCTTATCCAACATAGAAGAGAAGAGAAAGTTTTACAACTTTATAATTATATATTTTATTAATCAAAATTAGATAAATACTTACTATCGGTTTGGGATTGGATTCATGGATTTGGATCATTAATATTTAATAGGATACTAGACATTTATCGGTTAAAAGATGGGCTTTGGCCCTTGGGTCTATTAAGATCCAAAAATCATATTAAATTATTTGATTTTTAATATAAAAAATTTATTAATTCGTATAAGGTTGATTGGAATGAAGAACTGTTATTTAATTGTTAATGTAAAGAAATATTGATTTAGATAAGATTAAATGGAAGAATTATTATAAATATTTGTTGGAAACTGTCAAAATCATATTTATACCAATAGTAATAAAAGAATGAATGTCTGATTTACAAACCATTAAAACTCCTTTATATCCTTTCTTTTTTTTCGTTGAAACCTTACTGTAGATTCACCAGAAATTAAATTCTTGATTTCTTGTGCAGGAATTTTGTTGTAAATAGTTGTATCCAAAATTCATATGTCCGGGAACTATCTCATGAGTAGGGGCAAATTTTTGTCTTAGAACATTGCATCCCGCAAGCTTCTAACCGTGTTTGATATACGCACCTCTTTTTCAGGTAAAGTTGATTGTTTGTTTCTTGATTTACATTTTTATTACGTCTATAAATAGTATATAAAAGTATATAAAATATTGCTTTGTTAACATATGTTTTAACACTTTATTATACAAATAAAACAGAAAGGTTTGCATTTCCGTTCTCTAAGAGGCAAGGAGTAGTAACTAAAATCGTATTAGTCACGACCAAATCACAAGTGAACTTCTTAATGCCGTTATACTTAAGCCAAATGACCATTATTATATCAAATTCTTGTTACAACAAATTTAATCGCATTCCAAAACATTCCACGCTTCTAATTTAATCAGTTTTATGTGGTATGAATATATAAAATTGTCTTTACTTGTATGCTATGGTGCTATACACAAGGATCACATGATTCACATTTGTGGTCTTGTTTGGACAACATATATTTTTCCATTGCGCACTACACCTTCAATGTCTTGAGGACTTCCATATAACTTTTCAATGGCATCTCCCGCACGAGCAATACTTGAGAGTATTGACTTCCGGAAGTCAACATCAACAATCAATGGGTCACACGAATAATCAAGAATAACCTTGTCTTCTTCATCCATTGGCACACTGCAAAAAAAGAGTTGTAAATTAGTCTAGATACTAGACTATGAGCAATTAAGTTATATTTCAACTCCAAGGGAACGTAAGGGTGTGGATAACATTCCCTTCAAGACACATTTGAAAGGCGTGAGGGCAACAGATCCCATGAGAACTCTACAGTTAAACGTGTTTGTATGATAGCAGTGCCATGATGAGCGACTCGTGATGTTGTCGAAAGCTGTTATATATCTTGGTATGTGTGAGTCTGAGATGTTACAAATGGTATTAGAGATGAAGAATTGTGTTATAAATTTACCTATCATAAAGTCCTGCGCCAGCATAGCCTTCTAGATCTTCACCATTGGAGTCGGATCGAAAGATAATGGATCTCCTTATGAAAAGGCCAATGGGTTTGCTAGGGTGACCAAGTATCTGAAAATTTTGGCATGTTTTGTGAGAAATTTAAAAAATTATTGAAACATAGCTTTGTATGGTTACCTTGGGTGAGTCGAGATTGTCTTTCTTGGAAATGAAACTCAAAGCACGACCTGGGTAAGCTCCTACCAAAGTCTCTCCAAGTCCCTTTACAACCTGGGTTAGCTTGAAAGATTAGTCTATGTGATTGTAATAATTTGTCATAGTGAATTGAGGTCTATGGTTTTTTTCTGGTTTTGAAGTTCTCCACGTATATTCTTAGACAGGAGTAAGAGAAGAAAACCTCAGCGTATATCTCTGAAGAATCTCCAGAGGATGGATTTGTGGTATGAATGACAAACGCGTAATCAGCGTTTATTATTTCTTGGACAAGGACAGCCATGCATAGGAAATCATGATCTAGTTTGACTTTTTTTGTACTGAAGTAAGCTCTCTCATTCCATTTTGAACCCCAAACCTGAAAAAATTGTACAAAAAAGTCAACAAGTAAATATATATATATATATATATATATATATATATATATATATATATATATATATATATATATATATATATATATATATATATATTTGAAGTGAGGTAAGCTTTTCCAACCTTCTTTATAGCCATCCATGCTTGTTCCCATCTCTTTTCACCTTCATCACCAGGCCATGGCATTTCAGAATTTTTCATTTTATCTTTCAGTTCTTGTACCTGAACCAATGCTTGCCATCATCATTTTTTTTTTATAATTTAATACCACTGCCACTACTTTTTTTTTTTAAATTAAGAATAAGAAATATTACCAGCTGGGGTGGTGCAGCAAGATCCAAAACAGTTTTGCGTATCTCCCCAAGGACATCAGATTCTCCTGCTCCTAATTGTTTGCTTAAAATTTGTAGTTTTTCTGACACTCCCTGCTTAATTAGTATAATGTTACAAAAAGTAGTTTGCTATATATATATATATATATATATATATATATATATATATATATATATATATATAAGTTAATGTATATGGATTACCTGATTTAAATCATCAGAAAGAACTTTCTCGAAAACTCCAAAAGGTAGTGCCACCGAGGTAGGAATGCCAACCCAAGATGGGACTTTCCCTTTGAGGTATGCAATATTAAGTGATTTAGCTCCAACCTTATAAATATTGTAAAATAATGAGTTAAAAAAAAAATCAAACTTCTTATATTTTGGTTTGGCAAAAGTACCTCGAGCCATTACATTATCAGTCTTCTACCTAAAAAGTCATTATAAAATTTTATTTTTGCATAAGCCATTGATATTGAACTTTTTTTTTACCATATAAGCCATTATTGACCTACAAAAACCAGTTACCACGTTTGATTTGCTTACATGAACACTTTTAATGAGTTGGCATCTGATGTGGACATTCATTTCTGTTGCCACATTAAATGCCACCTCATTAAATATTGTCCATGTAAGCAAATCAAATCCGGTAACTGGTTTTTGTAGGTCAATAATGACTTAATGAAAAGTAATAATAATGACCTATATGGAAAAAAAATTGTATTCATAATGGCTTTTTATGTAACAGGATGATAATGTAATGGTTTTTAAGTAAATGAATATATAAGTATTTATTTAAGCCTGACCATCTCACTGGTGAATTCGTCTGATGATATGGCATAACTACCATTAAACTGCTTTTTAACTAACTTTATAGTTGGTGATGAATCCACTTCTTCCAAGTTGTTTAATCGTGTCACATCCTCCTCTTTCACCTCACTACAATTATATATATACACAAGACAGTGAGTTCTTCATGTTACAAAACTTGATAACACATATTAGAGTGAATTAGAAATTCGGTCCCTGTGCTTTACTCAAAATCACAAGTTCAGTCCAAATTTTAAAACTGTCTCAATGCCAGTCCTTACATTTGCATTTCATTGCAGATAATATATGATCCTTGTGCTTTACTCAAAATCGCAAGTTCAGTCCAAATTTTAAAACTGTCTCAATGCCAGTCCTTACATTTGCATTTCATTGCGGATAATATATGATCCTTGTGCTTTACTCAAAATCGCAAGTTCAGTCCAAAGTATGAAGTCATTTTATTGCAACAAAATGCAAACTGTTGGACTGAGTTTGCAATTTTTGGTAAAGCACAGGGACCGAATTTGTAATTTACTCTTTTAATTACAATGAATGACCTGTAAGTAATATCTGCTGATGTAGGTTTTAGGCTCAATAATTTCCCTTCTTGTGCTCGAAGATCATTTAAAATATCGGTATCAAAACATGTTGCAAAGCAAACCTGCCAAGGACAATATGGTCATTTTTCAAAATCTGTTATGCTGGTTTGAGTGAATGAAATAGACTCGTACTTTACTGTTTCTTGCTCGAACAGAAACATGAGACAGGACATCTGGCATGTCGGGTGTGAGTACAGCAACTGTCCCATCTGGTATTTCCTCTTCTCCACTTACAGTTTTTGCAACTAAAATAGTTGGCTTTTCATAAGATTTGTTTTGAACAGAAAGTAATTCATCTACCACTACAATGTATCCAACTGCTTCAACTGGGCTGATAACCTGCCAGCTGTACGCATAATGAAGTTTAAAAAATTAACATAAAAAATATTGGGAAGTTGTATAATAAGTTAATAACTAATAAGAGTAAGACTAACCTCCCTAAATTAGCAACACTACGGAGAATAGGGTCGAGTCGATTCACGAGTGATGATAAAGAAGCAGCTGATCCTGAACGGATCATTTCTTCAGTGAAAATGCTGACCTGGAAATGGAATAATTTTAAGAACTAATGAAAAAAAGTAATTGAAATTTGAAAACATTGTGCAAAACATGATATTCATAAGTTTCATACAGCCCATTGGTCTAATCCAAGGAGTGCTCCGAGGTACTCAGCAGAAGGTTGAAAAAGTTGATGGTACAACTCTCCTTTGCTAGCAAGTGCAAGTCGAGTTCTATCAAGGACTGATTTTGCAAATAAAGCCCAATCATTGTCTCCATTTTTCAACATGGTTAGTGCTCGATCCCATCCCTTCAAAACAATAATGTAAGAAAAAAAAAAGATTTTTTTTAGCATCCTACTTTCATTTAAACAATAAGATAATATGAGCATAATCAGAGATTACCTTCCAGCAATAGATAAGATCTTCGTTGTTGTCTGATGAAAGTATGAGGTTCTCAAGAAGAAGAGTGACAAGATACATAATTTTCTGTGAAGTAATGAAAATTGTAAGGGAAAGTTTTCAAATAATAATGAACTGTTAGTTAATTAAATTAAATACCTCTGGTTTGGCGTTCTTTAACTCTTCATAGCTTCTTTCAATGGCTGTTCTTACAGTAGAATCAAGGGCAATGTCCATAAAAAGAAGATCCTTGAGACGATCATTTGATGTAGAAAGTAGCGGCTTAAGTTCTGCACGTGCTTCTAGCAGTCCCTAAATAAAATAAAAAACAAATATTTATGTCGTTTGTTATAAACACAAATTAAAGACGCAATAAGAAAAAATTGAAGTACCTCAAGAAGGGGTTCCACGTTCTTATCTTCGACATGCTCCAGGACAAATTGAAGTAATTCCTGTTTTACCCTTTTTTGAGTTGAACTTGAATAATGAACAATGAACAGAAGCTTTTTTGGAGTTGAAGAAAATATAAAACTTACCGGAAAACCAGATGGCAAGCCAGAAATCGGATTTATTTTCACGCCAACCATGAAGCCTTTTCCCTGAAAATAATAAATAAATGTTTTTAAGTCAAGCATTTTGTCAATAAAACAAGATAAAAATATGAATTCAAATTCAGACACTACCTCAGATCTATAGCCCATGCAGTTTGAAATTGCAGACTCAAGATCAGCACCAGAATGAACTGCCTGCATGAAAATGAAAGTGGGATTAGAGTCTTGTAAAAGATATAACAAAAAATAAAATTACAAGTTTAACCTTTAAGGTTCTCATGTAGTTTCCAAGATCACGTAAAAGGCCCTCCTTTTGGTCGCTTGTGAATTTTGGCTCATTGTGAATGGCTCGATCATAACTTAAAAGTCGTTCTTTTGTTATTCCATTTGAATTCAATGTGTTCCAGTATACACTAATGTCCATGTCACTTTTGATATAATCAATTAGTGCCTGACAGATGATTACGTCATCAGGGCTTGTGTTGTTATGCAACTTTTGATGCCATTCCTCCATCATTCCTCCCTTGCAGTTATTCTTTTTCTATATTTAGGCCAAAATATAAAAGAATATTAGATTTATGGAAAATTAATGAGAATGATTTATAAAAATTTTATGTATACCTGGACAACAAGGATTTCATCACGGATGCGTTGACCAACATCCCCTTCACCTCCACGTCCAACAGTTGACATGATCATACGAAGAAGTTCACTATATTGTGGATAACTTTTATAAACATTTTGAAGCAAGTCCACAAGCCGATCCTGAGCTTGGCTTATCTCACTGCACCAAATATAGCCATGAAAAAGGGCCCAAGGGGTATTTTGGAATTTCACCAAATTTGTAGCCCACAAGAGAAACGAGGATAAGTAAGAGGTCGTTGTTTCTTTTTTACTTAGTGGGCTTAATCTTTTAAGCAGTTAACCTGGAAAGCTATACATGACTTTCTTTTTTACTTAATCCGGACAGAATGACTTAATCGGTTAAGCCAAAAAACCTGGCTTAACCAAACTTTTACCTTATTTGTCCCTTTTTCTTCCCATCTCCTCTCATGTTAAATCCATGAATGTTGTTAAAGCTGATAAATATTGTAAAAACTGTTGGAATCTAAGGGTAAAATGGTCATTTAGTCTCATTCAGACGCCTAGGAAAGAAACAGACCTTATGTATACAGCAATTAATCCAGACAGACACCATTACCCATTCAGCCACTTTACCCATACAGGACATGATGAGAAAAAAAAAGCCCCTAAGCACTGTAAGAAGCTCATTTTTACCGTGGCTTTACGCAGTAGTTTTTATTCCAAATAAGTTGTCTTGTGGCCATAAACCGCATCCAAACAAGAATGCCTGCAAAGCCTAACTCATCAGCATCCTTGGCTTCTTCCATCAGACCTGCTGCAATATTGAATCTGAGAGGAGCAGGAAGAAGAAGAAGAAGAAAACATGATGATTGTTAGCAAAATTTCCTCATGTACATGTAAGTAAATATGAGAGATTTCAAGTGTAAACCTGTGCATAAAAGATTTTTCTGCCTCACTTTCCAGTGATGCTATTTTGTCCAACAAGTCCTTGGCTGTACCCTTCCCATCACCAGCATCCTTCATGAAAAAAAGTTAAAATTAATGAAAAATGGGGAACAAATAATAAATGTCATGATTCTTGATTTTAAGATAAGCTAAAGAGTAACCTTTATTGCTCTCATGGGCCCAGTGAAATCAACATAAAAGTCTGAATCACTATTCTTTACCCAATTTTCACCATGACGAAGAACAAATGGCATCCCCACAAAAGTACCTTCTTCAATTTCTAATCCTAACGTCTGTATCTGCTAGATAGTAATCAAATTATAAATAATAAATAGAGCATTCATTTTAATTTTTAACCCAAAGCTATCTAAAATAAAATCAGACAAATTTTCTTCTTGGCAAACCTTGTTACTGGGATCATCAACAGAGATTGTAGAAAATTGTGTTTCAGCAGCCTTTTCTAAAGAAATGGAACCTTCTGGTAACAAATTCACAGGTGGTTTCTGCAATATTGTATATAATAATCTATTAGTTGCTTAAATAGACAAGTGTATCACAATTTATCTAAACTTGTGTCCAAATTAATCAAAAAGAATTTTCAAAACTTGCCAGCCACTCCCCAGTTCTCTCTGACAATGCCCAGTGAAGAATGAGAGGCCCCTCCATGTCTGTTGCCAAATGAACTCTAGTCTTACCTGAACCTTTTGTTACAAGTACCTTAAAAAGTAAAAAAGTCTTTAGAACATGAAATGCAATAGCTGGCTTACCTGCATGGTAAAAAGTAAAAAGTACCAAAGAAACAAGAAAAACTTACCAGAAGCTCTTTATCATAAAGTCTATATGTCTTTTTGTTCAGGACATCAGTGTCACTTTGTTCTTCTATGTCTTTAGAGAAAAGTTGTAGTGCTGATAAAGTTTTTGGTTTTATGGTGTTTTTTTCCTCCATAGACTTCAGAGTTACTGGAGTTGGTTTCTTGAGAAGTTGTGTTATATCCCTCTTTTTACGGTTAATTCTTTCAGGAGTGAAGTAAAATTTTTTCCCCTGCTGCTTTTGAACTTTTTTTTGCACGTCTCCTTTGGTAGTTTTGTTCCTTATGTCAGCAACAGAACTACCCTTTTCTAGTTCCCTCTGCAACTCTTTTCTTGCTTCTTCAAATTCTTTCTGTTACAATAGCATCATGTCAGTTAAAAAAAAAAAAGTAGATATGCATATAGATATTAGAAAATCTGTAAGAAGTTATCAATAACTAGCCTTTTCTTGTTCAGGGGTATAGGTTTGTTTCCCATTTCTCTCCCATCTCAGATATGCTTGAATTTGTACAAGGTCTTCAGGAACTCCAACATCAGAAACTGGCTTCTCTCTCAAAGGCAACTTTACATAAAAGTTTTGACCATTATCTTTGTACCTACATGAGGGGGTGGGGGGGAAGAATGATGTTATAGTCAAATATGAACTTAAACACCAACAAACTTTGGAAAGATGATAACTTATGCTTACCATCTATTATGTCTTTCATCTACTATTAAAAACTGTATAGCTTCAATTGCAGGATCATCAATCTCTACTTTCAGAAAGGAATCAGAACCAGACTAGAAGAAAATAATGAGCAGATATTACTATTCATATGAACCAGAATAAGAGATCAGTGAACATGCAATTCATATTTAAAGGTAACCTACTTTCACAAAGGGGGTTCTAAGAGCCTCGTTGTTATACACTTTAGTCCCTTCAGGATGACGGCTGGGAAGTACCCACTCTCTTGAAAACCAACAAAACCTCAAGAACATTAGGGAAAAGGCATAGACAAATTCTAAAGAAAATAAAATCCAAAACTAAATTTATTATAAACAGCTTACTCTTTTCTATTCTGCATGCCACCCCAATGTAAATATAGATGATCAATGCTATTAGTAATCTGAATCTCTATTAGTGCAACAGAAGAAACTTTAACGTTGACCTGTAAAATTAAGAAGTAATGTTTTTTAGTATATGGAGTTCTAGGCAATCTCTATGATCTAATGACTTCATGAGAATTCAACAAGTACATTTTCCAAGCATTTAGGGAGCTACAGATAAGTTTCATATCCTAATCGGTAGATACCTGCATCTCAATATTTCCTTCCAGTATGAACTTCCCTCCCAGCTGCTACAAGAAAAATAAAATTCCATCAAACCAGTGCATCTCAATGAGTATTTTCATGTCTTTGGCTAAATATTTCTAGAAAATAGTACTTGTGTGTATAGTTTAAGTTGTATATTTCTAGGAACCTTTCCGGCTACAGCAGTAAAGTCAACCTACAACTAGATAAAAATGTCTTCATATATACATCCAAGAATCTACTCTTAGTATATACATAAACCAGAAGACACGAATTCTATTTCTGTTTTTAGTTACTTTAAATGACAGATAACCATGCATTAAATTACTACATGATTTTCAAAAAATGCGCTAAAATTCCACTGTTAGTACCTATAAAATGTTCGTGTGTCGGTACTAGCAGAATTCTCAAGCTGTCTAACTAAGGAAGCGTAAATTCTTACACTATGAACACAAATACTTTAGTTATATGGTATTACCTGAGAAGCTGGATCGGTGGCTAAAACAGCTTGAGGAAGATCAGAAATTACACGATTTATGGGTAACGTCAATTTCCGCACAGTCACTCTCTGACCACGGAAATCGCTAGATAATAAAGAGGGCGAAGATGACGATAAGGACAAAGAAGAAGAAAACCTCCGTATCTGAGAATTCGCTTGAGCTTGAAGTACGGTATTTCCACCAATGCCATTAGAATTTGTTTTGATTTGATGCTCCAAAACAGTTGGCCGAAGCAAACCGTGCCCTACCGAACTGCTCATATCCTTTTTCCTTCAACTAATTCAGTATCACCTTCTAACAATTTATCGTTACATAACAAGAATCAGTGCTACTACAATTATCTGTCTATACATATACAGCGGTGATAGACATATAGTTTGCACAGAATTACGCAAACACTATGAATTCACGCATACTTATACAGTAACGAATCATAGAGATAGCCGTAATTAACGTGAAATCGTGAAAACAAACAGAGATACGAAGAAATTGCATTTGAATTTTGATGAACTTTCTTTGAGATTATCAAATGAAGCGATGAATTGCGTTTAGGATTGATAAAAGGGTTGAAATCTTACCTTTGATCAGGATTCTAGAGATATGCAATGCGCATGTGAATATCTCCAGAGAGTTGAGCGGAGTAGGATTGGTTGAGTGTGGTTGGAAGGAGCTTCGGGATTTGAAAAAGTTGAAATGGAGAAGGTGTATCGATTTTTTTCAAATCCAACCCTCTTGTTTTAATAAGTAACAAAAAGTCCCTACTATGTGTAATGGTCATGACCATGAAATTCATCATGCTTGAGTGAGTATAATTTTTAACTAGCCAAGCACAATCAGGTAAAATAATAAAAGATATGAAAACTAAGATGTGCTTCAATCCCCGAAGATTACTAATAAGTAAGGTAAGTATAATGTCGAAGAAATTCAAAATAGTTATTGGAACTGTTGTTTGGTTAACAACTTAACCTTGAAGTAAGATGCGTTAGTTTTGTGATCAACATAAAAGGGTTAAAATCAAAGAATAGCAACATATTTTTCTATATGTCTCACATAGGTTATCAATTGTGTATTAAATCGGTGTACTTACAAAGAGTTCCACTCAAACTATGCAATGACTTTTGACAAATTTAGTGAATAAACTTTGTTGGCATGCATGACATATATATGATATGTATTTGATAAATCATTAATGGGTTGTTTGATAGTCTATAACCAAATTAAATCTTATTAAATCAAGGCTTGATTGAGTTATGGTACCAAATAGTCTGAATGTAACCGAATTAGACCCAACTTCTTACCGGTCTCAGTAAAATGCATAACAAACAACCCTTAAAGTGTTAAAGACAAAAAATAATATCATATATTTCCATTTGTCCCCATTAGGTGACCTAAATTTCTTGCAGGTACTATGGGATTGCACTTAAATATATTTCACTTAGATCACTTGTTACATTGACTGACGGTAGGTTTTGCGTATATGACATTAATGTGACATGTATTTAACACATCATTAGATAACACATCATCATCTTCTGCATCCATCCAAATATTCAAGCTTTGGATTTAAATCATTCACAAATTCACTAGTTTTAATAAATGTTTATATGAAAATTATTTGTATGTTAGTTTTATGTAAGGTTATATTGATTTTGCTTATGAATAGCTTGAAAACAACCTCATTTGAAGTTGTGTGAATGTATGTTGACATCACTATATTGATGGTAGCATCTAACTACTATCCTTAACTACAAGAACATCATCACCATCATGATCCTATTCAAACCACTTTCCTGCTTCGAAGCAATTACAATTGCTTACATCAAATCTCGACAATACTTTGTATTGATTCAAAAAAAACGTCCTCATTTAGCACTAGTCTTGCACTTTATTGATCACATATCTTCCACCTATATTACATAACATATATTTTAAATTTCTTCTCTCTTCACTTTAGTTTTATTTGGTCTTCATGTTGCCATTCCCGTCACAAAGTTTGGAGATTTGATCTATTTCTCTCTTTTTATTTGGATAAAGCATATATAGAGTGAGAAAATGTTTTAGATTGAAACCATTAGAGTTGGAATCTTTAAGTGTTGTTTCTCCACATTTGTAAGGTGTTGTTTGTTTTTTCTGAGGCAAAATGTATGCAGTCTGCGGACCACATTTGTAGACCTCTGCAGCAGAAGAGGTGGACCAAACGTCTGCAGTCTGGAAAAAAAAGACTGTTTGTTTTTTTAACATATGCAGACTACTAAAATAAATTAAAATCTGAATAAACTGATTTTTTTTAAACTACAAAGTGATTTTTTAATGTATTTATGACTTTGTTATAAATAATTAACAAATCTAAATCAACTTTTATGTATTATTGTACAAAAAGTGAAAATAAAAATGATACAAATTAGCGTATATATTTGATAAAAACCAACAATTTTGGTCGTAAAGTTATGCCTAAACATAACTCCTTCCAGGTTTTGTTATTAATATTGTCCACCCTTTTGTTGTTTAAACTTTAAAATACTATTCATACAATATTGGCAATCGTTATAGTATGCCTACGTCTTGGACTTTTCCACATTACTTCGATTATTTCTTTCTTTGTCAGCATCATTAAGAGTTAAGCCTCCTCACATACTCTTTTTAGTTACATTCGCAGCTCTTGTGCAAAACAAAATAATAATAATAAGTGTGAGTCAGAGTCTTATGGTAATTTGATTATCAATAAAGTGAACAAGTCAAACTCCAAGGGTGGTAAGTGAAATTTAGTGAAAGAAATAAACATATTATGTCATTGTAGCAAAAGTTAAAATGGCATATTTGTGAATAAAGGGCAGTATACGTGTTGATCACGATGTTTAGGTAAACGAGCTTTTATCACGTGAGAAATGCACAGAATTCACGAAGAAATAGCATGGGGCCTGTGATTGCCACTCGCACTGATATTTTGAATGTAGAGTTGTGGCAAAGAAACGGCCTTCTACGTGGAGTCTTGCACTACATCGCTAGCCTCAAATAATATCACTATATATTTCGTCCACGACAAAAACAATTAGATAATTATATGCTTCTAGATCTTACATAAATCAGTTTTGGATTGGTTTTGAAACTGTCTGGTCTTTTCTTTGTACGGTTTTGAACAGTCTTAAGGTTTTTTTTTTTTTTCGGTCTAATCTTACATCTTAGGCTAGACTAGTTCGGTCATGTACGTCTTTGCTTTTTTAGAATTTTAGTTTGATTCTGGATTTTTTTTTTCAGTTTGGAAAAGTTTCTTTGCTAAATAAAATTACTTAGGCTGTTATTATATTTTTGAAGAAAAGGATCACAAATATGTCATTAGTATTGGTAAAGGTAAAAACAAATAAAAAGAAAATTTATTTATGGAAAAAACAAACTTACAAATTTAAGAGCTGGCTTTAATTTTGATTTATTTAAAAAAATCCATAGATTGCCGATATTAAAAAAAAAAAAACAAATAGATATTTATAGGTAGTTGAGAATAAGAAAATGAATGCAAATGCAAAGAAAGAGGGGGTCTGATCCTATTAGGAGAAAAAAATAGAAGGAAAAGAAGAGCTTGTAAATAAGAGTGACAAATTGTATTGTCGAAGCATATCACGTTTGGTGACAGGTTTAGTCCGGTTAAAGATTTGGTCAATTTTCATATATCTTTTATTGTTCAAATCGGATTTTAAGACCAACTTAATAAAGTTTTTTTAAGATCGGGACATGGGGTTAGTAAAGTTTTTTCAACACCGGTTCGAGACTGATACTACTCTGACCTAGAGCGATTCGAGACTGCTTCAATATCGTCGATAAAATTAGGGACCTATTTCGGACTGACGGTCTGGACTACTTTAGAACTCCTCAGCCTTAGATGTATTAATTCTGCAACTTTTTCAAAGATTGTTTTTATTTATTTATTTATGTCTATAAGTTCTCTTTAAATATCTTTTTTAAATATATGTTATTGTTATAACATCTATAATTATTAACCACAATTAGAGTTTGTTTTTATGTAAAACCAAGAAAGAAACATATCTTTGAAAAAAATCAATACAAAATTTTTTTTGAAAGTTTTTTAAATAATTAAACATATGTTGGTCTATTTTGTATAAATCGTTATTGAATGATTTGGCATATCATTGGCATACCATCCTCCGATAGAATATAAAAAAACGAAATTTATGTTCGTTGCATATGTGTTCTTATCTATTAATCGAATTTATATTTGTTACATATGCGCAATATAGAGGATAATTTTATGGTAAACGAAAGATATTTTTAATTCAGGTGCATTAATAGTTCATGATTTTATGAAACTAGATTTCACTTCAAAGTGAATAAACATACATTATGAACAAAAAATAAATACGTTGATTATATTTGAGTTTGAGTATGTTGGTGGTTTTTGGGGATGGATTTTCCCCCTTTTTTTTAAAAAAAAAAAACAACATAGATAAAAAAAGTTATGATATGTTGATTTTGGTATTGACTTAGAAGTTGATAAAACCAAGAAATTCTTATCATCTAGTTTTGAAATGAAAAAACCTGGGAAGGCAAATGTGATTCTTGGTATAAGAATCAAACAAAGAAATAATGGGATTTCAATTTATCAATCTCATTACATTAAGAAGATATTGAAAAAGTTTAGCTCTGAGAATTGTTCTCATGTTAGCACTTCTATAGATCTTAATATTAAGTTTCTACTTAATAAATGATCTCCAATGTCTCAACTTGAATACTTAGACTTATCCCATTAGCAACCAAATCTTTGGTTCGTTACCACATTTGAATTAGAAAAATGAAATATTCATTTAAAACTCACGACTAGGTTGCTCCACCAAACCTTAGTTGCCCTTTTTTTGTTTTTTTTCTTTTATTTGTTTGTTATAACTCTTTTGCACCATAAACATTATTTTGTAATTAATTTAATTTTATATTTATTAAAAAAAATACACTAAAATACATAAAATAATTTTGTCTATAAATAAAGACCAATATTGACATATTTTAAGATTTTTTTAAAGAATTTTTTATATTGTCTATATAATCTTAAAAATATTAAAAACAATTGGGTTATAAATTGGAAAAAATATAATATATATAGTTTGTGTAATACAATAAAATTAAAAATATAAATAATATAAAAGTTTAGTTTGGGTTTTGGTTGCTAATGGGTGTGAAAAGTTGGGTTTAGTTGGATTGTGTAATTAGAAGAGAGAGAAATTATTTTTTAATTAATAGTTGGTTGGTTTTGGTTGTGAGTGAGAATAGTCTCAGGGGTTATTGGTTGTCTAATGTATATTAGCACTAGGCCTGATATAGCTTATGTTGTGGGAAGGCTTAGTAAGTATACTAGTAATCCTAGTTCACATCATTGTCAAACTGTAAGTAGGGTATTTAAGTATCTGAATGGGATCATGGATTATGGTTTAACTTATAGTGGATATCCTTCTATTTTGGAAGGTTATTCAGATGTCAACTAGATTAACAACTTAGAGGATCACTCCTTTACTAGTGGTTGGGTGTTTCTTCTTGGATGAGGTGTCATTTCTTAGGTATCCAAGAAATAGACTTGTATTAGTAACTTAACCATGAAGTCTAAGTTTGTAGCATTGTCTGTTGTTTGTAAAGAAGTTGAGTGGCTAAAGAATTTTATTTA